TTAAAATTGAGGCAGAGAAATGCAGAGTACAATACAGTACAATAATTTGGCTTCATACAGGAAGAGACTGATTGAAATGAAATGTCACCAAGTCTTCATATCTAACAAAACACGTTAATGCACAATACATCAAGGATACAAAATGGATTCTTTTTCACTTAAGTTTATTACAGACTACCAAATCATTGTTTAATGCATTTTCTACTATAAACTTTCTCTTTTTAGCAGTACATGCTACATTAATACCTACATCTAGATATTTTACCATTAGAGTTACTCTTCTAATTTCAAACAAGTAACTCATTGTTACCTTTTCACCTATACGTATACACACATTATCTCCATCATAAGAAACTTGAGACCAAATCAAATTATCTAGAAAATTTTCATTAATAGTAAAACTCAAAACATGCAAAAAAAATTCCAGTTGTGAAACTTATTTGTGTTGTATTTGATATAATGAATTTTTAAAAATGGGATTGGCTCATGGCTATCTCAAAATTGAAATGAGATCTTCTTCCTTTCTTAGATCTCTGTATAGCTTAGAATTAGCTTAATTTACTTATGGAACTGCTTTGATTTGGAAGTAATACGTTAGAAATGCACTTCTTTTGAAGTAAGGAATCTTTAAATCATTACTGCAAATAATACGATGTTAGGGGGGAACTGCTTGAAAAGTTTATATGGACTTCTTTTTGTTCCTAAGAGGATTATCTGAAAGGACATTTCTTAAATTATCGTGGCTATTAAATAGTACTATGATGCCAATAAAGTATGAACTTGACAAATTTGTCATTTAGAATAAAATTATTTTTGTTGGAATTTTGGACAGAAGAAAATATGGTATTAGGAACATTGGACTGATAGTAAATAGAAATAACCTTGGGCAAGTCCTTCTATGTAAAATTTCTATTGATTTGTACTGGATTGTTGAATTGAAATCCATTGTTTCCAACTTATTGCATCTTTTTAAAAGCTTTATTTTTAAGAATTTATATTTACATGATTTGGAATTTGAATACATATAGAGGTTGTGACACATAATCTTGGAAGTTCTTTTTAAGCAACTTTCTCTCTTTGTGTTTTGAACTATAGAGCCCATAATGTGTAGAGAGCTGAATATATAATACCTTACTAAGGATATTTCATATTTAGTACAGTCTATTTTATTGTGGAAAAATTAAAAAGTGTCTTTTTCTTTTTCTTATGGAAATGGAATTATCAGCCAATCTTAGGCTGCTAGATGTTTATTTGTAGTAATTTGCATATCCAAATATTTGAAATTAATTTTGTTTTGGGAGAGTGGTAGTCACATAGTAGTTTTAATGCTGCCAACAATTTTGGAGGTTAGATTTTCTTAAACACAGTTCAGATACTCTTTCCTTTCTTTGGTATCTTCTCTTTTAAAAGGCCTTGAAAACTAAGTATTTCAGTAATCGGCCAGGGCCAACACCTGGATGTCAGCTGCCAAGACCAAACTGTCCAGTGGAAACTTTAAAGGAGCAGCCAAATCCAGCTGTGGCAACAAAACGGAAGAGAACAGAAGCCTTGGAACAAGGTAAAACTCTCATTTTCGTAAGAAATGAATTCAGAAAACTCCAAATAGCTAATGCATAGCTAGTGACTGAGGGGCAGCTAAGAAATGGAGATTTTGAGCTATTTACTGTTTGTAAATTTAGATTATATAAAGTAGATAGAATGTGGTATTTTAGCTATATTTGCTTCCATTGAGAATACTTAGATCATGCTCTTTAAAAGGACATGGGCACTTTTGAGTATACCTCAGAGTTAGGAAAACTATCAGTGTGTACCTAGTCTCTTTATAAATTCCTACTGGTACACTGAATGCTTAATGTTTAACAAGTGCTACTGGAAAATCAAAGCAGGTGAAATAAATGTAGTTGGAATGCAATGACTGGTCAAGCTTGCCATAAGATCGAATGTAAACCACCTCATTTTTTTTTTTTTTCTTCACCTAGGAGGATTACCCAAGAAACTAATTTTTTAGTTACAGAGAACACTGGACAGTATCTTACTACTGAAGGAAATAGTCAAAAAGGCAAATATTGGAAAAATAGTAAACATTAAGTAAATGCTGTAGAAGGAATTTGTAAATATTCTACACATGTAAAATATGTAAACTGGGTTATTTTTATTAAATGTATTTTAAAACAAACTTAATTCTGATTTTTCTGATTACAGTGCAAAAGATAAGTTTAGTTCTCTGAAATGTAGAATTGAAAATGTGTTAAGGAGACCTTAATAAAAATAATTATCAGTTATTCTGATGATCTGGCCCATATAGCATCACAAATTTGTAGTAGTGGGGGTAGTATTTAAAAAATAGAAAAACAGTAGTAGTAAGGTAGCAAATATCTACTACCGAGACTTAACAAATGTTAATATACTAAATAGGAAAAGCAGAAAAAAGCATTCCAGATAAAACTGACGTCCCTTTAATACATCATTCTATCCTATTTCTTCCTTTTCTCCCTCCCCAGAGGGGATTGAATGACTCTCAGGAAATGAGTGTGTCCTTCCATGATTTTATACTGCTATTTTGTAAGAATGCATGCAGTAATGTACAGCATTGTTTGGGGTCTCATCTCATAATGCAAGTTTTTTTTGTACTCAATACTTAATTCCTTCCATGTTAATACATATAAATTTAGTGTATTTAACTGTCATATAATACCTTATGTACGCAACATTACTTACCCATGCTCTATTTATGGACTGTGTTATGCTCCTTTGCTGCATAAAAATTACCATAAATATAGCAGCATAAAGTAACACAAATTTGTTAGCCCACATTTCTGTCAGTCAGATACCTGGCATGGCTCAAAATGTTTTCTGCATGGGCCAAAACCACGCTGGCAGGCAGACTAGGCTCGTGTCCGAGGCTCTAGGGAAGAATCCGCTTCCAAGCTCATCCAGGTCATGCGGTTTAATGCACATGCCTCCTGTCCTTGCCAACTGTCAGCAGGGGCCCCTCTCATTTTCTTAGGGCAGTCCACATGCCTTGTCACATGGCACTCTACCTCTACAAGCCAGCTATAGTTTGTCAAATCACCCATGTGCTTTGAATCTGTCTGGCTGCCTCATCTGCTACCAAGAGAGAAAACTGCCTTTTTTATTTTTTTGAGGAAGATTAGCCCTGAGCTAACTGCTGCCAATCTTCCTCTTTTCACTGAGGAAGACTGGCCCTGAGCCAGCATCCATGCCCATCTTCCTCTACTTTATGTGGGACGCCTGCCACAGCATGGCATGCCAAGCGGTGCCATGTCAGCACCCGGGATCGGAACTGGCGAACCCTGGGCCGCTGAAGCAGAATGTGTGCACCTAACCATTGCACCGCTGGGCTAGCCCCTGCTTTTTTTAAGAAAAAGGCTCACTTGATTGGGCTATCTGTATATTAAAAGTCAACTCACTTGGGATTTTAATTACATCTTAAAAATTCCTTCATAGCAGTACCTAGATTAGTGGTTAAATAATCAGGATGGAATTTTTGAGAGGGCTGTCTTTAGAATTCTGCCACATGGACATTTAGGTTATTTTCAGTTTTACATTAAAAGAAATGGAATGTTTATATACATATGCAAGCATTTCTCTAATGTACATACTTAGAATTGTAATTGTAAGGTCATAAAGTATGCATTTTCAATTAGTATTGATATTGCCGTTATCTCCAAAGTAGTTGTATCAATTCACACTCCCAGTTCAGTAGTTCTTAAAAATGAAGAAGCCCCTTACCTTACACCATATACAAAAATTAACTCAAAGACCTAAACCTAAGACCTAAAACTATAAAAACTCTTAGAAGAAAACACAGGGGAAATGCTTCAGGACGTTAGATTTGGTAAGGACTTCCTGGATATGGCCCCAAAAGCACAGGCAACAAAAGTAAAAAACAGACAAACTGGGTTACATCAAAATTTAAAACTTCACTGCATCAAAGGACATAATCAACAGAATGAAGAAAAGACAACCTATGGAATGGAAAACAATATTTGAAATCATATCAAGGAGTCAATATGCAGAATATATACAGAACTCTTAGAGCTCAACAATAAAAAAAAAATCTGACTTAAAAAAGGGCAAAGGACTTGAATAGACATTTCACCAAAGATGATATAGAAATGGCCAATAAGCATATGAAAAGGTGCTCAACATCACTAATTATTAGGGAAATGCAAGCCAAAACCACGAGATATCACCTCATACCTATTAGGATGGCTACTATCAAAAAAACTCCAGAAAATAACAAGTGTTGTTGAGGGTGTACAGAAATCAGGACGCTTGTACACTGTTGGTGGGAATGCAAAATGTTGCAGCTGCAAAGGGAGACTGTGGCATTTCCTCAAACAATTAAAAATGGAATCACCGTATGACCCAGCAATTTCACTTCTGAGTGTATACCCCCAAAAACTGAATGCAGGATCTCAAATATATATATTCATCAACGCTGAAGTATCTGTTTGACCTTATCATCTCTAGCACTCACGTAATTTTTGTGATCTTTGCTAATTTGATATCTCCTCCTAATTTACATTTCTTTGATTTCTACTGTGCTTGAATATTTCTTCATGTTTGCTAACCATGTACAATCCCTCTTTTGTGACCCGTTGATTCAGATTGTCCATCTGTCAACTGGAGCATTACAAATTTTATCAATTTATATATTGTTTTATGTATATACTACAGACATGCATCACTTAACAATGGAGATACATTCTTTTAAAAATTTTATTTATTTAATTGCAGTAAGGAGATACATTCTGAGAAATGTATCATTAGGCAATTTCGTCATTGTGTGAACATCATAGAGTGCACTTACTCAAACCTAGATGGTATAGCCTACTGCACCCCTTGGCTATCTGATACTGATCTTGTGGGACCACTGTTGACTGAAACATTGTGTGGCCCACGACTGTATACACATGTATTACATGCATATACACACATAGTAAGAAAGAAGCTTTCTAGTTTTTGTAATTTGATTTTTTTTTTTTTACACTTCCAATTTTGGTATTGTTAAATCATCCCAAATCTTTCTTTACCTTTTATTTTATGTTAAATTATATATACTAGATCTGTGTATGGTCTTTATCGTATTCCATTGACCTGCTGGTACCACACTGCTTTAAATAAGGTAGCTTGATATTACTATCAGGACAATACATTTTAATATCTGGTAACAGTAGTTCCTTATCATTCCTCCATTTTTCAAAATTTATTTGCCAAGTTTTCAGCTTTTATTATTATTTATTAATGCCAACTGAATGCTGTTCCTTTAACACTTTATAAATGGTTTATGTTGTTACCTTATTACCCTATTATTATCTCATCTATTTAAGTATAGCCATATCTTCTGTTTTCTCTAGAGATGATAATTAGACAAAAGTTTTATTGTAACTATTGACAATGTAATGTACTTCTTTTGACATAGTTGTATGCTATTAATATAGGAATATTCTTAAAAGGTATTAAAGATTATTACTATGTAATATTTATTGAAAGAGAAGTAAAATTAAATGGCCTAAAATTCAGTGTCAAAACCAGGAAGTTAAGTGTGAATGGTCTGAGTGCCAGAATTCTGTGAGCTCTGGCTACCAAATGTCACCATTCCAACAAAAACAGAAGATATGAAGGTAACTAGCAATGCCTTTGAATAGACTTCTGCCAAAGTCCCACCATAATAACTTTTTCATTGAAGTAAAATTAAGCAAATTATTTTATAACTTTATATGGCAAATGAAAAGTCCTGAAAAACAAAAATAAAACAAGATAAATGTATTTCAAAAGTTAACATCAGTCACTCCTAGGCATTATTTCTTAGAACATTAATTTACTATTATATTGTTGCTTAAGCCAGCCAGTCACAGATCCCAATAGTCAATATAAATAACTACTTTTTTGTATTTCTTAAAAGTGAGTTTCTTTATTTTTGACGTTGGCAAATACTAAAAATTTCCTAAAGTATAGTAATGTAATATATAAATAAAATATGTCAACACAGAATACTAATAAATTTCTTGTAGAAAATGTTTTCAGTACTTAAGCTTACTCCTAAAATTTAGAAATACCCAGAAAACGTATAACTTCTGGAGATGTAGCAACATGTACACAATCCTTTTCCAAAGGCTCCTGATGTAAACAGCTCTCAGTTCTAATTTCAACTGGTTTGTCTTCCAAACACGATATTTGGTGGCAAAGAATGGGATCTTTTCAGAGTTCCTGTGTAGTTTTGATCTGTATGAAGGCTCTGGACTGAACGAATGCAGCCCAGAGAATTAAAAATTTGAGCACTTGAATGTACAGGATCATGCAAAACAGAGAATTCTGAAGTTTTCTGCCAAGGGTCTCTTAATGGAAAATTGTCTTTCATAGGACTTATTTCTTTATTCTCTTTTGAGGCAGTGTCTTTGTTTTCCAATGCCCGAGCAAGCATATAACTAACTTTCCTTTGATGAGCCAAAGCTTCTTCTTTATCATTCAGCTGCATGCGCAGAAATTAAAAATGTGCCAGTTAGTAAATAAATCACAGAATATAGAACTAGCGTCAGAAATATTTCATCAAAATGTTCAATCATCAATCTGTCACATCAATTAATGTGAATAAATTAATTAGGTGTCCACTAACTCCCAAGCAGCATGCTGCATGTTATTGAGGATTTTTTTTTTAAAGCAAGAACAGAAAACAGCATTCCTTCTGTTGAAAATTTTGTAAGTCATCTGAAGAGAGGGGGGACAAATATATACATGGTGTGTGTATGTATGTATACATAATATCAACATGTGCTTATTTTCTCTAAAAGAATGTTGAAGTTATATAAAACTTTTATATATTTATATGCAGATAACTTTAACAGGCTTCTCTAGGTAAGTATGTTCATATAACATGAGTCTCTTAGTTATCTTTGACATGGGGATAATGGGACTGACTTCAGGCTTATGGTAATGATTAAAGGATATAATCATTGAGAGGAAGTGCCTTGAACACTTTAAAAATTCCTGAATAAAAAGGATGTCTTGTCATGAACTGTATGTCTAAGTGCAGATGACAGAGATATCTGGAGTTAATGACGGGGAGCCCCCTTTTTCACAAGTGGAGCTTTAAATTTGCACAAGAAGAACATGGATGGGAGAAGTGGGAAGAGCATGCAGGGAGTTTAAGGAAATGAGATCATGACTCTGGAGGATGGTACCTCAGCTGGGAAAAGGGCTTAAAAGGCGAATATGGGGTGATAAAGAGTTGAATTAATAGGAAGCAAAAAAAAAAATAGCTTAACCACAACCTGCAACAAAAAGAAAGCAAAGATACTAACCAAATCTATTAGCATCTTCAAGACTTCCTGAGGATTATCCTGCTCTTCAGTCCTCTTAGAAGTGTTTTCTGAAGGGAGCATACCCAATAGTTTCTGCCCTAAGGTCTTCTTACTACTTTGTGATGGTAATCCTAAAATTAAACATGAAAATCCACTTAAGACATAAAAAGACACTCTCAGATGTTCTTCTAGGAAAAGAGGTAAGTACGAACCCGGGCTCATTCACTCCTCGATCAGTCAGGAAGCTGCCCTCTTCAGGAGACCTCTTGCACGAGTGCGTCAGGCAGCACAATGTAGTGGGAAGAGCCCAGACTTTAGAGCCAGGATGGCAAACGTAGGTGACAGGGCCACTGAAAACCCAGAGCAACGCCCTGCCTGCTGCTGTCTCATCACACAGTCACTCAGCCCCAACAACCACTGCCCCTCGGGAGAGAACGCAGCCCAAGCTACAGATCATTTCAGTCTTCCAGAGGAGCCAGCGATCCAGATTTGTATGTGAAATATCCCAGTTTTAAGTGTCAGTCACTTATCCACATTATTTAAGAACACTTATGCAGATCCAACAAATGTGTCTGCAGGCCGCAGGTGGCCTCTGAATTACGCAAACTCTGCTCCAGAGCTAGAAAGTCCTGGACGTGAACCCTCAGTTAGCCACATACTAACTGCATGACCTTGGACAAGTTCTCTGAGCTTCATTTCCCCGCCTCTGAAATGAGAATAATAGTACCTGTGCCTCAGGGTTGCTGTGCCATTAAATTATAGAGCACAGTGTTCACGGGAAGAGAGTTGCTGGGAAAATGAAAAGGTTCTGGAGGTGGAAGGCGGTGATGGTTACATAATGAAGTGAATGTCCTTCATGTCACTTAAAAATGGTTAAAATGGTAAATTTTATGTAGATTTTACCATAATAAAAAAACATACATAGTTTTGAAAGCATGTAGCCCAGGTATTGACATAATGTGTAAGAGTCCACGCCCTGAAATATGTACACTGATGTCCTTCATCCACAGAAAGGATGCAGTTTGTAGCAGAAGGTACAACATTTACAGGTTTATACAAAGAAAATTTCAAGAATGTCTTTGGAATGCTCTGGATGGCCTAATAGGAAACTGAGAGGCGATAAGGGACAATCCCCTTTCAATTCTGATAAACCACAGTGACTCGGGCTCACGCCTGACCTCTTCTGCAAGCAACTGCGGCGAAGGGCACAGCCAGACAAGTTGACGTGCTCACCAGCTCTGATGAGTGGATTCATATGTGCTCTAGTTTCAGTCTAAAAAAAGAAACATGCTAATTACCTACCTCTCAGAACTTGTCTAAGCTGCCACATCAAGAAGAAAAGTTTAGACTTGAACCAAACAAAAGAAGATGACCTGTAACACTCATCCTGTGCCTCTTGATTATTGAGCTATACTAATAAAATGAATCAAAGACTTGTCACTAAGAAACTCACAAAGAGCTAATGAAACTTACATGGACTTGTAACGGCTTTTCAGAGAGAAATTAATTATTTTAAATTCTTCTTCTAGTCTCTCTCAGTACCTTAATGGAAAAGAAAGATTGGGAGCTATACCTTTCAAATAATATTTTTTATGGAAAAGTTCCTGAGGTTTGTCAATGGCTAAGAAAGGCAGGAATTCTGGAATATAAAATAAGTACATACTCAAGTGCTGAAATGAATATGAATCTACCTAAGAAAAACCCAGCTTTGTCTACATAGCACTATCCTTATAGCCAACCTCCATGCACAGTTGGGGGCCTTCTATGTGGGTGACAGAATGTGATAGGCTTTCATAAGATTAACCACACCTTTCCCCTCCTTTTCTTTCTCCCATCACTCCCTACCTACCAACAAAACAACTAAGATCAGATTTCCCAAGGGATTTGCCTTCAGTCACACCAAGGCTGTCCTCAGAGTATCCCTGTAAATATTCTGCAGTCCAGCTCCCAGCAAGGGCCTCGCTGAGGAAAGGGGTGCCTAAGGAAGATCACCTGCACATCTGTTGTCTATGACAGAACTAGAATTCTTAATGTTTGCCACTGATTCCTAAAAGGCTAAATACACGAACTGTTAGCTTAATTCCCTTGCAAATCACCTACCTTGAGTTTGACATGAAGGTTATACCTTCAGCTTTTATCAAGGGATTATTAAAGAAAACAGACATATAAATAATGATTTTATATTTATTGTAAGTGACTGTTGAGGACTTAGCCATTATATTTGCTCAATGGCATCTGTAAGTCTCATGTCAGAAAATGCTTTTAGGAGTTAATTTCAGGCAACATGAAATGCCTCTTTCAGAATGAGAGTTGAGAAATGTATTTTCCCTTTTTGCCCTGACTTCCACCTGATGAATACTCTAAACATATAGCCTTTAGGATCAGCTTTTATCTACTTTCATAGTTTTTGTTTACTACTTCTATTTTATTATCCCTGTAAGCTACTTCTTAACCATTTCAGCAAAGAGATGGGTAAAGTAAAGCTAAAATTCACAACACTTGACCCATATACTATTACTAATATATACTATTTGAAATATTTCAAACAGAATAGGTATCTGCTATTAAAAGTTTTGTTTTTAATGTAAGATTTTTATTAGTTTTGAAGTTCATCTGAAAATAAGACATTGGAATTGGGATTAGAGATTTGACATAGTAGAAAATATTTAGAAATATAGTCATCTCAGAATTTTAATATTAAAACATTTAAACGTCTTATAAACTTCACTTTAATCTTTACTCATAGTGGTTTCAAACTGGAATTTAATTGGAATTTTAAATGGAAGCTATATGAATTTTATGCATAATACTGATAAATGAAAACTGATATTGACCATTTAGGGAAACCAAAATTTCTAGAAAATAATAGCTACTTTGTTTATACTGGAGGACCTACGTCAGTTGTAATTTTATTCTCTCAGGCCATTTTTATCTACTTGGTTTACACTAGTACAATGATACTCAAAAATAGCCACGGACCTTTTTTTCTTCCTGAGGAAGATCAGCTCTGAACTATCATCTGTTGCCAATCTTCCTCTTTTTTTGCTTGAGGAAGATTAGCCCTGAGCTAACATCTGTGCCAGTCTTCCTCCACTTTATATGTGGGTTGCTGCCACAGCATGGCTGATGAGTAGTGTAGGTCTGCGCCTGGGATCCAAACACACAAACCAGGGCTGTCAAAGCAGCGTGCGTCCAACTTAACCACTATGCCACAGGGACGGCCCTCCTGGCCATGGACTTCTGATAGGCTTGTGAACCAAAACCTAAACCTTAACTTCTGTTTCATTTTTTATAAGAATATTTTATTAATTTGTCCAACTTAAGATTTTTTTCTCTAACCCTCATGTCTCTTCAGGATCACACATTTCAATAGAATGTAATTAGATAGATACATTTAATGTTGGATTTCACTGTCATTTTCAATATTACTTCCTTCTTGGCAATTGCCCTTTAATCATCAAGGGCTCTAATTATAAGTTTTTTCCACTAAACATGGTCTTGTTTCAATGAAATAGAAGAGTACTAAAAAAGAGATTCTCCTGTTATTTTATGGTTTTGTTGATCCCAATTGCTCATCTGCATATGTAACATCCAATGACCCCCTTTTTCCCATGGTTTCTAAATTTTTAAATAAATCACAGTGATATACAAAATTTCAATTATATTCTCCATCGTATTAACTGTGCTTAATCAACTTTGATTATAACCAAAAACAACTGAAATTATGCCTGATTATTGCCCTTATAATTCATATTTACCATGCTCTTTAAGGTGCTTCCATTTTATCCATTTTGTTGATGTTTTACACATTTTATCCATTTGTGTCAATCTTAATGCCTGGTCATTTTTCCTCATTAACTGTTGTTCAAATGCAATTCTGAATGCATCTGCCATTATGTAAGCTTCTTCTTTACTCTTCTGCAAAAGTTCCAACTGGTTTTGAAAGAAAGTTTGAGAGGTGTAAGAGGCAAAACCAGAACAATTCTCACCTCGATACTGGATCAGGTTAGCAAATGCAGTCTCCTGTCTTTGATCTATTTCATCTGCCTAAAGTAATTAGTTCTTGCTGATTCTCTTCTGCAGTAGCTACCCACTCTGAACTAGATCACCCTAGACAGGCCCTGTGTGTGTCCTGCCCAACGAGGAAAAAGGGAGGATGCCAAAGGCTGCATTTCAATTCTGCCTTGGGCCAGTCCAGACAATACCACTGAAAATAATGAAAATCAGCTTTCAGATACCCCCGATAGATGACCTCGACTCTAATCTATGTAATCTTATACTTTTCCTAATGAATTGTTAATGTTTAGCTGTTAGCTTTCCCATATACTCTGAATACTTTAAATTCCATACCTTCAGTAACGGTCAAATATTTTTAAAATTATGGTCCATGTACTATATTTGTTATTAAAGCCTTAATTATAGTGGCAGCTAACATTTGTTTAGAAGCTAGCATGTGCGTGGTGCTGTGCTAAAAATATGTCTACTTCCTCTGTTTCTCACAACCCTCCACACTCGTTAATACCCGCTATTTAACTTCTGTGTCCAAAGCCACACAGCTAGAAAATGATGGAGCTGAGATTCAAACTTAGGCCTGTCTGGTATAAAGGTTCCTCCCACTGTACCTTGCTGCTTTGCTAATAAACTTCATGTTTATCTCCCCATTAATCAGTGTTCTGGATCCTAGTGACTTTAAGCGTAAGTGCACCTTTTCCTCTAATATACAGTAATTTTAGGGCTGTGTATAGACAAACAGAATTTTGGAAATATTAACTACAAACTTAAGCAAACAACTTTACATGGCAATGATATTGTGCAAAGTACTATTTGTATTTTGGAAGCATGTAAACAAAATCCAGTTTATATGTTAATGCTATCATATAAAATTATAAGTTCTATAGCCAATGACTACTAAAATAAAGCTGATTATTGCAGATACTTCTGTTTATTCTACTATTAACAGAGAAACAAAAGCAAAGCTTTTACTGTTTGGTAATTTGATACCTCTTGTTTGAGCTGCAGAAACGTTTTCTGAGCGGACGCTGCCATTTTGGCACAGGAACAGGGGCTCCCTCTGGGACCATGACAGAGGCAGGCTCCGAGGACCTCAAGCTTCAAATCCAAAAGCATTATCCCGTGACTAAGTGTCACACTGCCTAGCTACACACACACACACAGGGGCGCGCGCACACACACACACACACAGATGCACATTTCTATTCAAGCATCTGAGTCAAAGAAACTAGAGAGGAAAGCAAAAAGAAGAAAGCTGAGACCAGGATTTGGGGATGGATTTCCAAATGGAAATTAACTACAAATGAGCAAAGAATGTTATTACTTAGATCAAAAACATAAAGGAATTCTACTTTCCTTCTTTTCACTCTCCAAAACCTTTAACCTGGCACCAGTTTCCTATAGTTCTGAGTACTGGCAGGAACTTGACCTAACAAATATTAACATCCATGTGGGCTTGGCCCTGTGGCCCAGCATTCATTACCGCCAGCCCCTGCCAGGGGGAGTTGCATACTCAGAAATGACGAGTGAATTTTCATGGCAATGAGGAAAACAGTCATCCCTCCACTCCAAAAATACTACTCTCTGATCTTGTAATGTGAGACACTTCTAACAGAGCTGCTGCTAAAACTGTAAAAATAAGAAATAAAAGGGGCAGAAAGCGGCTAGCACATCCCCGTCCACTAATGTCTAAGAATGTCATGCATGAAGGGTGTGATACCAGAAAGGCTGAAGAACTGACCTGGGCAAACCCATGGGCCTCTCTCACTCAGCCTCAAATTGCTAGACATGGTGCTACCCTAGAACACGTAGCAGACGGCAATGGTGGAAAGAAAAAAAAGTAGAAAATTTCCTTTCTGATAAACTTTCAGACCTGCTTACCTACCTCAAGACCTGAAACTTCTGAGAAGCCACTTTCATCATGACACATGTTTTCCTGAGCCATCTTCTGCTGTTTGATACCAAGCATGGCGAGGGCCTCCAAATACTGTTGATTCAAAACTAGGAAGGGCCATATAAGAAAGTGTTAGTTATGAGGTCTGACTCCGGCCTCACCTAATCTAGTTACACCAACATCATATCCTCATTTCTTACAATCAATGCATATACAGTTGATGCTTCCCACAAAATCTAGCTCCATCCAGAAAATCCATCTGATAGAATAGTGGGTATCAAGTGAGATAATACATATATAACTCTAGATAAAATGTTATTTTTAATGTGGAAGTATCTTAACTTTGCAACCGAAGCCTGATCTTCATTTGCTCTGGGAAAATTTGTAGGATTGTCAAAGAGAAAACTTAGACAAAGGCAAATTATTCAGAGACTTCGTGGTTAGTGAGACGACCAGGTAAGATCTCATGTATTATGTCAAATGTACCAGCTATCCAAACTATCAGATTTTTCTATTATGCGAAAAATAAATCATTTGAGAACAAGAGAGGTCCTGCTATCTCCTGGAGAGCAGAAAACAGTAACTTTTCCCCTCTTGCATCAGGATGGAGTGGTAGAGAGGAAGGGGGCGGGTTGTGGCCATGAGCAGCTTCTGTGCTGAGAACTAAGCTAACACAGGAGAAATCTCCGTCAGCTCAACTCACTGGCGTTGAGAAGCACCATCTGTGTGTGCAGCTCCCACCCAGGGGCGCTGCCACAGTCTCTGCACTGCAGAAAGTGCCTCTCTCGGGCCCGTGACCTGATTCAGAGCTTATTTTGACCCCTTCAAGCCACCACTTTAAACCAGTTTCTTCTATTTTAAAGAAGTTTCTGCTTCTGCCAAGAAGAGGGAATCAACATCTCCTCTTAAAATTCTATAAAAAGTTGGTACCACTTTAATATTCTTAAAACCCCTTAATATTCTTTCATTAACTTTTGTCATAAGGTGGCTCATTATATGAGAGACACACGTGTGTGTGTGTGTGTGTGTGTATGTGTGTGTACACACATATATACATAAAAAATTTCAAGTTCTTAATGAGTCAAATATCTTGAAAAATTAAGAATATTTGTATTAGTAATAAAGTCATTGGACATTTTCTGAGAGAAAATAATGTTGAATAACTAAACAATTATAAACTTTTCCTACTAGTGTCCCAATGAAACACACCCTACTCAGGTTCCTCCAACATCAGGTGCTCCACCGTTTTGTTTGACATGAGCATAAAAACTAAAGGGTAAAGGAAAATGGGGAGAAACTGCTCAATGAGTATGAGGTTTTATTTGGAGTGATGGAAATGTTCTAGAACTACACGGTTGCACAATATTATGAATGTTATGAATTGTTCACTTTTAAATGGTTAATTTTATGTGAATTTCACCTCAAAATTTTTTTAACTTAAACCTAATTGATGCATTTCTCCTCTCTCTTGTCCTTTAAATAAACTGCTTCGAAATACTGGCACTTTGTCTACTGATATGTGTTCTCAACACAGGACATTCTATATAAAACTGATCTGGTAGCATATTTTTACAGAATCATCAAAATGCCACGCTTACTTGCATTTTCAGACTTGAGCATTTTAATTTCTTCTGTTTTCAGTTTCAGAGTTTCCTTGAGGACTTCATTTTCACAGTTTAGCCTAGGAAAAAAGTACCCTCCAAATAAATAACTAAAACATTAACACTTCAGAGTTGAATGAGAATATTTTTATCCCATAACTAAAACACAAAAACCCAAATATAATTTTTCCTACTTCAAAACAGTCTTGAATGTATATGTGTCACAAAACAAAAACAATTCAAAGGAGTGTGGTAAGATTTTGTGGTAACCCTTCTGTATACCTAGTGGAGAGAGAATCAGAATCAGAAATACCTCTAAGGCATCCATTCTGAATACTCATTCTCTTTACTAAAGTTTTAATCAACTTAATAACCATTTGAACACCAACTATATGCTTACGCCACCTTCAAAACTTGCATAAAAAGATACAGAGTAGGTACAAACTTCCAACTGTACAATACATAAGTCCCGGGGATGGAATGTACTGCATGGTGACTGTAGTTAATAATACTGTATTGTATATTTGAAAGTTGCTAAGAGAGTGGATCTTAAAAGTTATCACAAGGAAAAAATTTATACCTATGTATGGTCATAGATGTTAACTAGACTTATTATGGTGATCATTTTGCAATATATAAAAATATCAAATCATTATGTTACCCCTGACACTAATACAATGTTATATGTCCATTATATCTCAATTTTAAAAAAAGCAAAAAAATAAAAAGATACATAGGGAACTTTATTTATTGAATAAAAATTGGAATTACTTATAAGAGTTCCTAAATTGCCTAGGATCAGAGGCTTAAAAAAATTGTTTTTCTAATTAAAAACAGAAGCCAAATCATCTGGTCAATTTACAACTTTTAATAAAATACCCATCAAAATATTTTGTGATCATGTTTGTGGGGAATGTTATGTGCTCTGCTCAGAATTGGCCTCAGATCATTAAAATGGTGGTCATGATGTTAAATCTTCTCAGTTAAAAGTGAAATGTAAACCTAAGGCATTCTTCTTCCATGAATTACTTAACAAACTAATTAAAATGGTGAAATAGGTTTCTCAAGCAAGGTCTTTAGACCTTGAAGAATAAAGCACCTTTGTTAGCACAACCTCTTCCTAAGAGTGTAGGTCTGTGATTTTCAAACAGAATTCTGAAAAAGTGTAAGCAAGAAAGTGCTCAAAGAATAATAGGAAGGCATCAAAAGCCAGAGGAGCCAACTTGAAGGGGTTCCCATTGACGGACGTTGGAAAATTTTAAGCATCAAAGGAAATTATGATAGTAATGGTTTTTAATCCATTGAATAATGCCAGAATCCATGAATCCATATTGGTATAAACAAACAAAGAGGGAGAAGAAAAAGCTCTTTCTTACAGTAAAATGCAAACAAATAAATGTAGAAGGAATAATGGAATTAGAAAATTACCATTGGCACATCGTAGCAATAATTGCTTCAGGCAGAATAATCAGTAGATGTAAAAACTAGTGGGTGAAAGTCTAAGTCACAGTATATTTACATACTCTCAAAGTGTCTCCCCACAGGACGCTTATTAATTACAAGGGGAAATACAGTGACTTTACAGTGGAGAATGAGGGCAGACAGCACACCCCAACCAAGTGATCAAGAATCACACCCTAGGAACGGGACAGAGCAACGTCGCAGGTCTCCTGGTACGATGCACTAAGAATAGAACACTGTTCCCATGGTCATATTGCCCAAAACACATAACCCAGATTGAATCCAGAAACAGCAGACATCCCCATTGTGGAATATTCTATAAAGTAACTGGCCTGTCCTCAAAAAAATGTCAAGGGCAAAGAAACACTGAATAATTGTTTCAGATTAACAGAGACTAAAACGTAGACATGGCAGCTGAATGCAATGTGTGATTCTGGATTGGATCCTGGAGCAGGGGAAGTGTTTTTCTCTTTTGCTATAAGGGCATAATTAGGATAATCAGCAAATCTAAATAAGGTCTGTAGATTAAATAATAGTATTAGGTTAAGGCCTTGATTTTGATAATTACACTATGGTTATAAAAGAGAATGTCCATTTTTAAAAAAATACAAACTAAACGATTTAGAGCAACAGGGCTTATATATGCAACTTACTCTTAAATGGTTAGAAAAAAAATTCTATCTATATCTATATACTTAACTACAAAGAGAGAAAGAAGGAAAGAAAGAACGATAAAGCAAATGTAAAGAGATAAAATCTGGAGAATCTTGGAGAAAGATATATAGGAATTTTTTGTACTGTTCTTGCAACTTTTCTGTTAGTCTTCAATTATCTCAAATTAAAAGTTAAGAAATAATAAATTCTCCAAGCACATGGGTTGGAAGAATAAACATAGTTAAAATGTGCATACTACCTAAAGAAATCTACAGATTTAATGCAGTCAATCAGAATCCCAATGACATTCTTCATGGAAACAGAACAAAGAATCCTAAAATTCATATGGGCAATCAAAGATCCAGAATTGCTAAGGCAATCCTGAGAAAAAAGAACAAAGCTGGAGGCATCACCATCCCTAACTTCAAAACGTACTACAAAGCCATAGTGATCAAAATGGCATGCTACTGATACAAAAACAGACACACAGATCAATGGAACAGAACTGAAAGCCCAGAAATAAAACCACACATCTGTGGACAGCTAATCTTCAACAAAGGTGCCAAGAACATACAATGGAGAAAAGATAATCTCTTCAATAAATGGTGTTGGGAAAACTGGACAGCCACATGCAAAAGAATGAAGGTAGATGATTATCTCATGCCATACACAAAAATAAACTCAAAATGGATCAAAGACTTGAAGTCCTGAAACCATAAAACTTCTGGAAGAAAATGTAGGTAATACACTCTGTGACATCAAACTTAAAAGGATCTTTTCGAATACCATGTCTTCTCAGACAAGGGAAACAAAAGAAAAAATAAACAAGTGGGACTTCATGAGACTAAAGAGCTTCTGCAAGGCAAAAGAAACTAGGATCAGAACAAAAAGACAACCCACCAATTGGGATAAAATATTTGCAAATTATACATCCAACAAGGGGTTAATCTCCATAATATATAAAGAACTCACACAACTCAACAACAAAAAAAACCAAACAGCCCGATCAAAAAATGGGCGGAGGATATGAACAGACATTTTTCCAAAGCAGATATACAGATGGCCAATAAGCACATGAAAAGATGTTCAACATCACTAATCATCAGGGAAATGCAAATCAAAACTACATTAAGATAACACCTTACACCTGTTAAAGTGGCTATAATTACCAAAACTAAAAATAACAAATGTTGGAGAGGGTGTGGAGAAAAGGGAATCCTCACACACTGCTGGTAGGAATGCAAATTGGTGCAGCCACTATGGAAAACAGTATGCAAATTCCTCAAAAAACTAAAGAGAGAAATACCATATGACCCAGCTATCCCACTACTGGGTATCTACCTGAAAAACTTGAAATCAACAACCCGAAGTAACATATGCACCCCTATGTTCACTGCAGCACTAGTCACAATAGCCAAGACATGGAACGATCCAAGTGCCCATCACTGATGACTGGATAAAGAAGATGTGGCGTACATACATACAACAGAATACTACTCAGCCAGAAAAAAAGACAAAATCATCCCATTTGCAACAACGTGGTTGGACCTGGAGGGAATTATACTAAGCGAAATAAGCCAGACTGAGAAAGACAAACACCAGATGATTTCACTCATATGTGGAAGATAAACAAACACATGGACAAAGAGAACAGTTCAGTGGTTACCAGGGGAAGAGGGGTGGGGGATGGGCACAGGGGGTGAAGGGGAGCACTTATGTGGTGACAGTCAAGAAATAATGCACAACTGAAATTTCACAATGATGTAAACTATTACGAACTCAATAAAAAAAAGAAATTAATTAAAAAATTAGGTACTAAAGCCATCTATAATCCCAGATATCAAATCAATTTCTCAACGACTGACTTTATAATAAATGTATGTTATAATTTAAAGTTATTAAATAAATTCCCACTAATAAAAGTCTTGCTCAAAAGACTGCATTTGAAAAAACAGTGCCAATGCTAAAATAACTTGGGAAACATGACTCTCAGACTGTACTTTAAGTTTCTACCATACATTTTTTTTTTAATTAACACTAACAGAAAAATATGGAACTGGTAAGTGAATAACCCATTAGAATTTTATAATATTTACACTTAGCTCAAAGAAGAAGAAAGCCTAAGCTGTATTTGAATTACACACACTTTAAAGATTTCCAAAGAAAAACTATGGAATAATAATATACAAACCTGTCATATTTTTGGGTCCAAGATTCCTCTATATTTTTAAATCTATTCTGATCAAATTCTATTTCCCACTGCAAGGCATTTATTTCCTATAGAAAGAAAACAGCACTTTCATGGAAAATTATTAGAAATAAATCATTGCAAGACAATGTCAATAGCTGAAATAAGTCATTTAATCATTTCACAGAAATAGGTTAAAAAGAAAAAAATTATCGTTCAAAGAGTCTATGACATTTGTAAACACATATAACAGGCCTCTTTAGCACTCAAAAAAACCTTTGCCAAAGCTTGCTTACTAGAGGGAAAATTTCAGATTGTTTAGCTTCAAAATTTGCTGGCTCAAACCTAGTGAGATTTCTCATCGCCCCTGCCCCCAACCCATGCAGACCCCATGAGCAAAACACACTCCTGGGGTCTGAGCCCAGGACAGTCCCAGCAAGGGAGGGTACGACAGGCACAGGCATGTGACCATCTAAGGTGACTCCTCACTGCCTTTCCAGTGATGAGGAGATGGTCAGAAAGAGGCAGGCTCTGCCAGGCAAGTGGAGGACAAAAAAAAGGAAAAGAAGAAGAAAATAGGAAATGCCAGTTTGGCAGGTCTCCTAATACCTTAAAATGGGGAAATAAACCTTAATTCTTTGCCCATGTGACAATCTATTTTGGATTATAAGTGACCAAGGAAAAGGACCACTTGAAACGTGAAGTGACCAAAAGGGAAGCGGCCATATGAAACTAAAGCACAACTAGCAGAGGGGATGCACACACGACACAGCCATTAGTACGATGATTTTAAACAAGTGCTATTTGAAAGCTTTTGGGATGGAACAAGTCCATGCTCAAAGTGGCAAATACCTTCTCCAAGGATCTCTTTTGTTCCATAGTCTTTTGAAGCACTGCCTGGGTATGACTTGTGGCTTTGCCAAATATTGCCTAAGAAAAACAAAAATTGCATCAGTATAAATCAAATTTCTAATCACTCCCATAGGCATGGTGACGTTCATATTTTTATTTTAAGACAAGAGGAAATTAACTTGAGAATTGCCACAGGGACCACGTTTTTTAGAGTTTGATAGTTCAAAAGTCAGAAGATTTTTATTTAGCTCTTTCTCAGTGAATGTGAGAATGAATAAACGAATTTCCCACACAAAGACTTGCACATAAATGTTCATAGCAGTGTTATTCATAATAGCCAAAAAGTGGAAGCCCAAAGGCCCATGAAGGGGTGAAAAGATAAACAAAATGTGCTGTACAGTATCCAGACAAAGGAATATTATTTGGCAATAAAAAGGGAGAAATTACTGACACATGCTACACCATGCGTAAACCTTGAAAACATGCTAACCGAAAGGAGCCAGATGCAAAAGAATCCAGACACATACTGTATGATTCTATATATATATGAAATAGAAAAAGCAACTCTCTAAGACAGAAAGTACATTAGTGTTTGTCTGGGGTTGAGGATGGGATGGGGAGCGACTTCTAATGTGTACGAGCTTCCTTTTTTGGGGTGTTAGAAATGTTCTAAACTTTGTGGTGATGGTTGCACAACTCTAAGCTTAGTAAAAATGAATTGTATTGTATGCTTAAAATGAGTGAAATTCATGGCATGTAAGTTCTACCTCAGCAAAGCTTTAAAAAAATCTATACCTCAAAAAGAAAATTAATTATATTAAGCACTGCTGCTTTTGTTTTAAAAGCTAAAACCATATCACTTATTATTGAAATGTATGAGTGATAAAAGTTTAAAAATAACTTCTCACCATGCTTTGAAGAATTTTCATTGCTTCCTCTTTACCTTCAAGTTGTCTTTGAGATGCCTCAAGTTCAGTTTTTAAAATTTCTACCTCCTGAGGACAGAAATAAAAATTAGCCTTCCTATCCACAAGATATGCAACCCAAAATGGTCAGTTTGCACGGTGTACATTTAAGCTCAACACGCACTTTCATTCCAAGCACTCTGACCTTACGAATGAGGCTGGAAATTCCTCTAGGCTTTATAAGTGGACCAGAAAGGCTAAATCTGAGAGCCTCACTATCAGGTGCCAGTTGCGACTGAAAGCCAAAATCTTTTGCTCTTACCCATCTAAGCCACACAGCTAATAATTTGAAAAAAATCTTTGGACCACATAAAATAAGCACACACTTATTCACACAGCTAGAGCAGCTGTTGTAGTTTGAATTGTGTCCCCCCAAAAGAAATGTTTCAGTCCTAACCCCTGTTACTGTGCACGTGACCTTATTAGGAAATAGGGTGTTTGCGGATGTAATTAAGTAAAGATGAGGTCATACGGATTAAGGTGGGCCCCATTCCAAAGACTGGTGTCCTTAAAGATGAGGTAAATTTGGACATAGCCACACAGGAGAGACGGTCCAATGACGACTGAGGTGGAGACTACATCGATGCAGCTACAAGCCAAGGAATGTCAAGGATTGCCGGGAGCAACCACCAGAAACTAGGAAGGGACAAAGAAGGGTTCTCCTCCAGACCCTTCAGAGGGAACACGGCCCACCATCACCTTGATTTTGGACTTCTAGCCTCCAGAAATGAGGAAGAAAGAAAAATCTTTGTTGTTCTAAGTCACCAGTTTGTGGTACTTTGTTGAGGCAGCCCTAGGAAACCGATAAAGTAGCTTTCACCAGAAGAATCTCACACACACACTAACAAGGCTTCCTGCTTCCTGAAGGTTAGGCGCCCCGTACAGACCCTCCTCCCAGCAGGCTGGACTGCTCCTCAGACGGCCTGGGACACATTCTAGTCTTCTAAGTTCAAAGGGGTGAAATTACGCCAGGTTATTTCAAGCCATACATCCAGGGAAGACAGATGGAAGGAAGTGATAAGTGTCTTCTCCAGGAGGAGATTAGAGGAGTAGAGGATTAGGGGCAAAAGGACACATAAATAGCCTTTTTGAGAGATGAGGAGGATAAGAAACAGAGGAGGCCAGTTGAAAGGTATGAACTTTACACTGTGGTTCATCAAGAATTGCCTTTCAGACAATTTTAGTATTACTTACACAAAATATCTATTGGTGGACTTTATTCACATGAGAATTTTTCCATTAGAGTACCCACCTCTAAAGTTTCCTGAAGACGTCGCTTCAATTCGACATTTGACAATTCTGAATTAGAATCTATTAGGACAAAAAGTTGAATATTTTAACTACTTAAATACAGTAAATTTGCTTACAAAATATCAAATACAGATTTCTCCTAAATTGCAAAGAGAAAAGAATTGTAATAAACCAAATAATGATAAAATAAGTAGCTTAAAATGTTTCACAAATGACAAGACACATACTTTTGAATAAAAAGACTCTAAAAAAAGGGCCCTAAATTAAAACTGTTGTTAATAAATTAGTTAATTACTACATCCAAACACAATATAAAAAACATGAATGTTGGTGAGTGAGATAAATAAATTTTGGCGTTTGACTTAAGTTTGATCAATATAGTGAAATGGATATCTAAGAAATAACCTGAATTTAATTTCTTTCCAAAGAGAGTGACTACAAGTCTCCTTTACTTCAGTTATCCTCCCCTTAACGTGATCAATTGAGACATGAAACTGAGCTTCCCACGAGCGTCATTTTCCTTGCAGTCTCACTGGGAATATAAAAACATTAAAGTGGTAAACTACGACAAAAAGATAAGATGAAATAAAAGGAAGAAAAAACAATTTAGAAAGAATATCTTTGAAGGACATTAAAAATTTCTCAAAATTTTTTTCTTTGCTATTCTGAACTTTCAGCAACATGACAGCATCCAAGACAAAATCTAAATCATGTTTTTGCTCTGACGATCCAGGGTTCCGAGGAGGGACAAAACTGACAGTGGGTTGGCAATGACAGGTTCTGTTCTGTTAACACCTGTGGTGAGCAGAATAATGGCCCCCCAAGATGTCCACATCCTAATCCCCAGGACCTGTGAATACATGGCCAAAGAGACTCAGCAGGTGTGATGGAATTAAGTACTTGGAGATAGGAGATTGTCCTGGATGACTCAGATGGGTCCAACTGACTCCCAAGGGTCTTTACAAATGAAGGAGGGAAGCAGGAGCGTCAGTGTCAGGGTGATGCAGCTTGAGAAAGACTCAATCAGCCATGGCTGGCTTTGAAGATGGAGGAAAGGGACCACAGGCCAGGGAACACAGGTGGCCTCTAGGAGCTGGAAAAGGCAAGGCAGTGGGTTCTCCTCTACAGCCTCTAGAAGGAATGCACCCCTGCCTACATCCTGATTTTAGCCCAGGGAAACCTGTTTTTGGACTTTTGACCTACAGAACTGTAGGATGATAAATCTGTGTTGTTTTACACCATTAAATTTCTGGTAATTTGGAAATTACCTACTAGTAATAGGAAACTAAGACAATATTCTTACTTAGGATCAGGTCAATTTTGATAAAAAGACAAAAGTTCATAACCCAACAAAATAGGAGCTCATACTATCACTATTACATCTTGTTTATATCCCAGGGGTTTCCTCATGTTTTTATAAAGACATCTCAGCATCATGTCCAGTTTTCAACATCTTGCTTGCAAAACAGGATCCATCACCTATGCATGATAAGGAACTGGAAGAAAAATACATAAATAATCCCATCCTAATTTCACGAAGGATTTTGAAAGATGGGGATAGATCTCCAGCTGCAACATGTTTTTTGTAAATCTGAAACCATGTTTCTTAAATTACTTTTGTGTTGTTCTAATATGTGTTCGTTCCACTTTGGAGGGAGAAGTTTTACAACATGGATTACAAAAGACTGGGCCACAAAAGAGCTGTGCTTGGGGGGCTGGCCCCGTGGCCGAGTGGTTAAGTTCGCGCACTCCGCTGCAGGCGGCCCGGTGTTTCGTTAGTTCGAATCCTGGGCGCGGACATGGCACTGCTCATCAGACCACGCTGAGGCAGCGTCCCACGTGCCACAACTAGAAGAACCCACAACGAAGAATACACAACTATGTACCAGGGGGCTTTGGGGAGAAAAAGGAAAAAATAAAATCTTTAAAAAAAAAAAGAGCTGTGCTTGGTTCCCAATCATTTTGGAGCTGTAACATTCTATCACAATATGATTCTGAATTTTACTCTTTCCTTAAGTTAAGACATAATTTATTTTTTGGATATAATAAATTAAGATTAATTTTGTTTCGATAATTTTTGAGAATTTCATGATATCCCTAAAATAAATGGAAGCATACGTATTCTACCTGGAACACTCTTTCCTCAGATGAACACCTGGCTTGGGCACTGATTCATTCCGGTGCTCAAACTCATGTCCTTAGAGAAGCCTCCCCTGACCCTCGCCTGAAACAGCAGCACCCCAGCCCTCCAGTCACTCACTGTCCCTTCACTGACCACTGCCTGATACTATACAGCTGTTGACTTGTAGGTTTATCTTCTGTCTCTTCTACTAGAACGTGAACTCCATGACATTAAGGCCTTTGACTACTTTGTTCACTGATGATATTCTCCGAGCCTACAGCTGTCCTGGACACGTAATGGACACCCAATAAACATTTGTGGAATAAGAAAAAAAAAAGGATAAACGAAGCATACCACTACACCACAAAAAAAGCTAGGTAGGCAATCACCTACTGACAGCACTAACAAATAGGTATCAAGGCAGAATGTGACTACTGTACTTTGCAATGTGGACAAGACTTGGAAACAGAAACATCGATTACTTTTGTACTATCACTAATCCCAAGAAGTGAATAAAGATAAATTTCTAAAATCCACTACAGTGATCCGTTTCCATGTGTTGTCAGGGTGACAGCACTGATAAAATTCACAGGGGAGGAGAAAGGAGAGGACTAGGCTTTCTTACCGGCGCTACTTTGTCGTCTGTAATGGGAAATTCTGGACCCTTCAGGAGATGTGTTTCGCAAGCTCTTATGCTTGGGATACTGAAAAAGGGCACCACATTTTTCTTCCTCATTTCTTGCAAACGGGGGAGGGCTAAAGTCCTTTCCATCTGATCTTTTCCTAGATGTAAATAAACGTGAAACTTGCACTTCATAAATGCCACCGGGCCTTCTTCCGAGGCCATACCCTAAATCGCCTTCCGCCATGTCATCCTCTTCCGTCTCCCAGGTCTGCACCTCCGCCTCCCTCGGCGGCCTCACCACGCTGCTCATCAGCCAGACGCCGTCTTTACCATAAGGAATAACAGGTGATCTGTAGTTAAGAAAAACAGTAGTTAGAAAGCTGTCATTCTAACAAAAGTTGGGTTTTCCAGGGAAGAAAAGATTCTGCATTATACAGGCATGACTCTCCCAGCAATGCACCAGCACACAGCTGCCCCTTGCAATCCAATTCAAGGTATTTAACATTTCAGGACTTTTTAGGCAAGAAAAAAATCCAACTTCTTATTTCCAAGATTGCAGTGAACTGTAAGGCAGCAGGAAAGGCTTTCATTGATTCCAATAATCTACTCATCACATGGAAGCAGATCAGCCTTTGCCAAGGAAACAGAACACTCTTGATATACAGGCTTATAAAGGAAAAGGCTCGATTTTCACAAACCTAAGAGCTGTATGAAATTCAGAATAGTCTGTGAAAAACCAGACTTCCAGTGACTAAGACTATCCTGCCTCTGTGCCTTCATGGCCCTTTATCCACTTAGGAGCATTGGGCTCCTACAGTGTTTCCTACTTGGTTCATCCGCTATTTCTGAGCAGACACAATGAGCAGAGGTTTTGTGTTTGGGACAGTGTTAGGTGGGAGAGAAGAAGGCACACCTCCCTCTCTCTCAAATCAGGCCACGCCCATGTTCAGAACCCTGCACTATTCGCCATGCAATCAGAGTACAAGCCAAGGCCCTTTCATCGCACATCTCTGCCCTGCCCGCATTCTAGGCTTCGGCCTTGGCCTCCCCGCTGTTTTCCACCATGCCAGGCATTCCCGCCCAGAGCTTTATGTTCCCTCTGCTTTCCATGCTCTTCCCCCAGACAGTGGCATATGATTTTTTTCCCTTCCATTTAGTTGAGAACTTTCACCTTTTCACTTAAAGAAACGACTTTACGGCTTCTCTTTGGCATATCCGAAGTGCCAGCATTACTACTCTTGCGCTTCGAGGCCATTATTAAGTAAAATAAGGGTTACTTGATCACGAGCTCTGTGATACCACAACAGTCAACCTGATAATCAAGACAGCTAAGTGACTAACACGCACGTAGTGGACGCAGCATGGAGACACTGACAAAGTGGGATTCACAACCTGGGCAGGATGGAGGGTGATGGCCAGATTTCATCATGCTACTCAGAATGGTGCACAATTTGAAACTTATGAATTGTTTATTTCTGGAATTTTCTATGTAATATTTTCAGACCACAGGCAACTGAAACTGTGGAAAGCGAAAGCGCAGATAAGGGGGGACTACTATACTATTATTGTTTAAGTGAAGACAGTTAAACTGAAGTACAGAGAGGTTAACACAGCTAACGAGAGGAAGAGCCACATTCTGAATCCAGACCCCTGATGTCAGAGCCACCACTACACTCTGAGCCACTGCTTCTATCACTTGGAGAATTTCAATGAGATGAACATAGAGTAAACCAAGTTTCTATTATTTATGACATCAAATAGAACTGAAAGTAAGTCTAAAATAGCTAGTTTTAGCAACATTCAACACAGTCTATTGGACTCCTTGTTTTCCTCAAATTTTTGCAAAATCATCTTGGTTCTTTTACGAGGTTATTTCCTAAAATAGTAAGTTTGTCTATTTTTATTTGTCAAGATAGACAGGAAATTATTTATCAAATCAAAGAATAACTCCTTATAAATGCAACCTTACACTTCTGTTAAGGAGGCTGTGGTCAGGGTTAGGCAGCCCGCAGTGAAGAAAATGGAATTGGTCAACACAAAGGAAACAAGCCGTAAGAGGAAAGAGTAAGCAATCGAAGGATTAGCTAAAAATATTTTTTAATGTGCCACGTACATTCAGGCATCATGGTTACTTCTTCCTGCTGTTCAGAGTGGAACATAATGAGCTTTCACATAGTCCAGTGCTCTACTGGTTTTTAAAATGTAACTTCAGGAACTGTTGGCCGTGTACTCTCCCCCTTTTTATAAACTAATAGTAATATGAATATGTAATGCAGCACAAATTAAACTTTTGGAATACATTTCTTCTAAGAAAGGGAAAATATTTGAAGTTGCTAATATTCCATTCAACCAGTTTTAAATGCATTCAGTGCTGACAACCGGGGCCGCAGCAGAATGTGTGACAGAGAAGGCGCCGACTCAGGAGGTGTGGGTTCAGATCTCACTCCACCACTTGCTGCTCTGTGGTCCCGGGCACGTCGTTTAACTTCTCAGAGCCTATTTTCAAGTCTCCAAAATGAGTTAAGCATAACTATGTATGGTTGTTTTGGGCACCATCGATATAATATATTGGAAATCAATGTTTATTGAATTAGCATTTGAGTATTAGTTTCTTCACTTGTCAAATGAGAAAACTGGAGAAGATTCTTGGGTTCTTTAGGGATCTAAAATTCTGGCTCTATATCAGCATTTTCCGAAATACGTCCCATGGAACTAGTTGTATGAACGATTAGCTGTTGCTAGGAATAAACGGTTCTTTTGGTGTCATTAAGGGACGTGTGTTCCTAGGCCAGTCTAGGCATGCATGACTTGCCCCACACCACACAGGCAGTGGCAGAGCCAGAACTAGAAACCATTCTCTCTGGCTCCTGGCCCGGCGCTCTGGCCAGTTGCGAAAGGCCACAGGATGAACAGATTGCAGACTGTGGATAATCTTCCTCCTTTTCCACTAAAACAACTCTTTGAAAAGTGACTGGTGTCTTCCTAATTGCTAAATCCAAGACCTAATCTCCTTCCTCAGCCTCCTCCTCCTCCGCAGACGCTGGGGCCCCACCGACTCAGCACAGCCAGGCCTGGCCACCCTGGCTCCTCAACCCCAGGAACCCCGACTGCGCCACATCTGCCCGCTCGGGCTCCTTTCCCTTTCCTGTCCCGGTGGTGTAAGTTTGGCTTCCACTCTTAAACACTCCGAAACAGGCATCTCCAACTGGATATACTGCCGGCAATTCAAATACAGCTTGTTCAAAACCAAATTTATTATCCTCCCCAACCTCATCCCTGTATACTCCTGAGTCTTCTATTTTTGCAAATGCATCACCCATGCTCCAAAATACCCAGGCACAAAACTCTGGAATTTGTTTTTCCTCTATATTCTCTTTGGTCCCTTCAGTTGCCAAGTCCTCTAGGTCCACAAAATCTCCTAAAACCATGTGCTGCTTTGCACATTAACTTCACAGCTCTGGCTGAATTTCTTATTTGCTCTTCCGGGCTAAAGCAATAGTCCCCTATCTGGCCTACTCCCAAGCCATCCTACACACACACTGCTGCCAAGTCAATCATCCCCAAGCACAGCTCCAGTGATGCCCCTCTCTGGCGCTACAACATCCCATGGCTCCCATGGCATATATAATGAAAGTAAGTGTCACCCTGTTTTCTACAATGAGACTCCAGCTTTCATTCCCTGTTTCATTTGTCAGTACTCCTTGGGCGTGATAGGTGCTTCCATGTAGGAGGGACTGCACCTGTGCCCAGGTGCCCTCAGCTTGGTGACCTTGAAGCCTCTGCTGGTACCATTCTCCACAGGAAGAATGCTTTCTCCTCTCAGGCCCCCTCAGTTCATAAGCCACTTCCTCCAGCAGCCTTCCTCACTCCCTTCGGCCAAAAGTGATTTCTGCTGCCTCTGAGCCCTCTTAGCTCTGTATTGTACTTTCTTAATAATCCTTACTTCCTACCTTTCAGGCGTAGCAGTTAAGATTCAGCTCTCTCACCACCGCCACTGGGTTCATTTCCTGGTCGCGGAACCACAGCACGTCTCCTGTACTGTGGCGGCTGCCTGTTGCTGTGACGCCGAAAGTACACCACGGGAATTTCAAATGCCAGCAGGGTCACCCACGGTGGCCAGGTTTCATCAGAGCTTCCAGTCTAACACAGACTACGAAGGACCTGGCCACCTACTTCCAAAAAATTGGCCATGAAACCGTAGGAACAGCAGGGAGCATTATGTGATAGAGCGCCGGAAGGTGAGACGACGGCAAAAAAAAAAAAAAAAAAGACCGGAAAAAGGTCCGGCTGGGTTCCGCTCTGCTGTACCCAGGGTCCCTGGATGGCACTAACGACAAACTTCCTACCTGATAAGGTTTTGGTTGCACACACCCCTAGTGCAGGGCATATGTGTGTCTCATTTCCTTGTGCACAACAGGTGTTCCAAAGATATCTGGTGGACAGAGCTGAAAGAGAAAACAGGTTTCTCTTTCTGTTTGGACGGGCAGGCGGACGGGCAGGGCTGGACCCCGGACCCGCTGCAAGGCACCCCGACGCTGCAGCCCGCGACCGCTGCGAACGCCTGGGGCGGGGTCGACCCGGAGCACGGCTACTCCGGAGCTGGGGGCCTGGGGGGACGCGGCTGGTCAGGGGCGGCGGCGGGGGGGGTAGGGGGGCGCGGCTGCTCCGGGGCGGGAGGCGGGGGGGGCGGACTGCGGGCGCGGGGGCGCGCTGGTGGGCGGGGTTCTTACCGTGCCTGGCTGGAGGCTCCGCGGAGGCGCAGGGGTGGGCGGGGCGCCCAGGGGTGACAGGCAGAATGGCCGGGTGGCGGCCGCCGAGTCAGCGGGCAGTAATGGGGCTGCGAAAGTGGCCTGTGCCCGCGTCTGGGTGGAGGGAGAATCCCAGCTGACTCCTGCCTCTCTGGCAGAATCTTTAACGTTAGCAGTGGGTCTCTTTGACTTATGTTCTTAGCGCTTATTCCAGCTGGTGTTTTTGCGCTGGCTTCTGGGTCCAATGAGTGTACACGAGCCCTTTAAACAGCGGGATTTCCGTTCCCTACAGTTCCTCAGTTTATAGTTTCCTGGATCTAATCCCCTTTGAGGTTTTGTTGTTTTTTTGTGGGTATTTTTTGGTGAGGAAGATGGCCCTGAGCTAACATCTGTTGGCAATCGTCCTCTTTCTTTTTTCTCCCGAAAGCACCAGTACATAGTTGTATATCCCAGTTTCAGGTCATTCTGGTTGTCTGTGTGGGACACCGCCACAGCCTGGCCCGATGAGTGGCGCCATGTCCACGCGGGGATCCGAACCAGCGGAGTTCGGGCTGCTGAAGCGGACCGGGAACTTAACTGCTGGGCCACCCCGCTTTGGTTTTTAAAGTCAGGTGTTTTGGGGGCTGTCTCTCCCGTGTAGATCTAAGGGTTGGGTTGCCTGATGTGGAGCTCGGAATCCGGTGCTTCTCAGGGAAGAGTTGCGATCCCTCCTGCTTGGGGATGGCTGTGGTTGGGGTGTGTTTTTTGCTCAGCTAGACCATTTCTCTGCCTCTGCTGTGGCTCTTGATTTTATCCTTTTATTCTTTGTGTGGAGGCTCTGTTCATCCAGCTTTCAGGTCCCTCTCATAGGGATTTATTCCATATATAGTTGTAGATTTGTTGTGTCCGTCGGAGGAGGTGATTTCAGGATCTTCCCACGCTGCCTTCTTAAACCCTCTCTCCCTCTCATTTTCAAATTGGGTTGTTTTTTGTATTGTTCAGTTGTACTTGTTCTTTATATATCCCGGATATTAATCACTATTCAGATAGATAATTTGCAAATATTTCCTTCCATTCTGTAGGTTGCCTTTTCACTCCTTTGTGTTGATTTTGTCCTTGATAAACAAAAAGTTTGACAAAATCCAATTTGTTTATTTTTGCTTTTATTGCCTGTGTTTTGATGTCATATCCAGGAAATTATGGGCAAGTCCAATGCCATGAAGATATTTCCTCTATGTTTCCTTTTGGGAGTTTTATATTTTCAGGTCTTACATTTATGTTTTTAATCCATTTTGAGTTAATTTCTATATATAGTGTAAGTTAAGGGTCCAACTTCATTCTTTTTCATGTGGATATCTGAGTTTTCCAACACCGTTGTTGAAGATGAGAAAAGTTAAAATAAGTGGAGCCATTTTTGCATAGAGGCAGGGCAGCAGTTTCAGAGGACCTGCCGGCACGTCTGACTCCTTGAACCTTTGGACCGTTTGAACTGGGCCAGATCTTTGGCCTTAGCCAAAACCAATACTGTTTTCCAAACTTGTGTTTGTAAAGCTAACAGGAACGCAGACATCCTGACCACAAAAGCTGATGATTATGGACTCTCTTTCTGAAGATAGACTCTGTAACCAGCCATATATAAAGAATAACCTAGTTTAATACCTATAGAAGATTTTTTTCCCTCTTCTTTTCATACAATTGCCCCTTTCCTTTCCCCATAGAAACCCTCGTCTTTCACCCTGTAATTGGGACACTATTTGGGTTTCTACTTGAATCTGTGCTCCAGGAGTTGCAATTGTTTGATCCCAGATGAATGCTTTGCCTCTTAAACTGGTTTCTGTTTTTGAAGGTTGAGAAGGAGAATATTCTTTCCCTTTTCAGTAGTCCTGGTACACTTGTCAAAGATGATTTAACCACATTTACAAGGATGCATTTCTGAACTATTATATTCCATTCATCTATTCGTCTGTTTTCATGCCAGTGCCACATTTTTTTTATTACTGTACCTTTGTAATACATTTTGAAACCAGGACTTGTGAGTCTTCCAAAGTTGTTCTTTTTTAAAGTTGTTTTGGCTATATTGGATAGCTTGAGATTCCATATGAATTTTACAATGATTTTTTTTCTATTTTTGCAACAAATGCCATTGGTATTTTGATAGAAATTGATTGAATCTGTAGATTGCTTCGGATAGTATGAACATCTTAAGAATATTAAGTGTTCCTATTCATGAACACAGGATGTTTTTCCATTTATCTGTGTCTTTTTATATTTCTTTCATCAGTGTTTTGTAGTTTCATTGTATGAATCTTTCACCTTCTTGGTTAGGTTTATTCCTAAGTATTTTATTCTTTTTTTTATACTGTTTTAAACCAAATTGTTTTCTTAATACACTTTTGGTTTCTCAATATTATTGTATAGAAATGCACCTAATTTTTGTATGTTGATTTTATGTCCTTAACTGTGCTGAATTGGTTTATTAATTCTCACAGGTTTTTTGTGGAATCTTTAGGGTTTTCTACATATAAAATCATGTTAGCTATGAAGAGATATTTTTACTTCTTCTTTTCCAATTTGGATGCCTTTTAATTTTCTTGCCTAATCGCTCTGGCTAGGACTCCCATACTTTGTTGAGTAAAAGTGGTGACAGTGGGCATCCTTGCCTTGTCCCAGATTTTAGAGGAAAAGCTTTCAGTCTTTCTCTATTGAGTATGATGCTAGCTTTGGGCTTTCATAAGTTGTTTTAATTATGTTGAGGTAGTTTCCTTTAATTCCTAGTTTTTTGACCATCTTTATTATGAAAAGATATATCAGTTGCCTTTTCAGCATCTATTGAGATGATCAAGTGTTTTATTGTCCTTCATCCTGTAATGTGGTGCTTGCATTGATTGATTTTTGTATGTTGAACCATTCTTGCATTCCAGGAATAACCCCCTCTTGGTAAGGGTGTATAATTCTTTTAATGTATTGTTTGAGTTGGTTTACTAATATTTTGTTGAAGAAATTTGCAATACATTAGGAATTTTGTCTGTATTTTTCTTTTCTTGTAGTTGTTTTTTTCTTCTGATTTTGGTATCACACTAATGCTGGCTTCACAGGATGAGCTTGTAATTCTCAATTTTTTTAAAGAGTGTCAGGAGGAATGGTGTTAATTCTTCTTTAAATGTTTGTTAGAATTCTCCAGTGAAGCCTTCTGGCCCTGGGCTTTTCTCTGTTGGGAGGATTTTGATTACTAATTCATTCTCCTGACTCATTACTACTTTGTTTGGATTTTCTGTTTCTTAATTATTTAGTCTTGGTAAGATGTGTTTCTAGAAATGTATGCATTTCATCTAAGTTATCCAATTAGTTGTCATATACTTGTCATAGTAGTCTCTTATAATCTTTTTTTCTACCTGTGGCATCAGTTTAATGTTCCCTCTTTCATTTCTGAGTTTAGTTATTTGAGACTCTCCTCTTTTTTTTTTAGTTATTTACCTAAGGCTTTATCAATTTTATTCATCTTTTCAAAAACCAACTCATACTTTCATTAAATTTTTTAATTGATTTTCTATTTTCTATTTAATTTACCTCTGCTCTAATTCTTTATTATTTCCTTCCATCTGCTAGCATTGGGCTTTGTTTGTTCTTTTTCTAGTTTCTAATGGTATAAAGTTACGTTGTTGATAATGAGATTTATCTTTTGTAATGTACTCATTTATACCTATAAACTTACCTATTAGCACTGCTTTCACTGGGATTGAAGTTAAGTTGTTATCAGTTTAAATAGATTGTTATGGCTACAACATATTTTATGTAATTTCTATGGTAATCAGAAAGAAAATACCTACAAAAATGTACAGAAGAAAATGAGAAAGGAATCAAAGAATGTCACTACAAAAAAAAAAAAAAATCAATGAAACCCAAAGGAAGGCAGCAGAGAGGAAAAGAGGGACACATTTTAAAGAAGACATACAGAAAAAAATTAACTGAATGGCAATAAGTCCTCTATCAGTAAATATTTCAAATACAAACTTATTAAACTCTTTGATCAAAACATATAGCATAGCTGAACGGGAGAAAAGACAAGATCCAACTGTATGCTGGATAAAAGAGACACACACTCACCATATCCCTTCCCCCAATGGCATGGTGTGATCAGGAGGAAACTCTCAGCTCCTAGTATCTCCCTGGGGACAGAAAGAGATGACTGAAATACACAACCAATGTTCTGACCTTTTGAGAGGCTGCAGGAGGAAATTGTTTCTGTCTTGTCTGATTCTAAACACTGACAGGAAAGTGTGCCAGATTGTAGGCCACTGAGAACAAAGGTAACAAGATGGAGCATTACTCAACATGGTCGCTCCCCTTGCTTAGTGCAGAACAAGCAGAAGAAAACTTACAACTCTAGAATTCTCTCTAGAGAGGGAAAGAGTTGGAGTATGTGTACAATGTTCTGGCATTTCAGAGTGGTGCATAAAGTACACGTATCTGTCTTGACATATTCAGAGTACTGATGGGTCCCTCATACTCTAAAAGCCTAAAAGCCACTGAAAGTAGCTCCAGAGAAATGGCAATGCCATGGACAGATGCAATAAGTATGAGACTAAGAGCTCTTGAAAAAGAAGTCTGACAATTTCTTTAATTTGGTATTTGCACAAGGGGGTTGAAAGTAGATGCATCTGTAGTTTTGAGAGGCCCACAGAAGTTCTAGCCAGACGTTAACGTGAAGAGCTTTCCCAGAGTGAAGCCAGGTTTTGAAGACTTGGAGAAGTGACTGTTTGTTAAAAAACATGGGTTGTAATTTTAAGGATTCTCTACAGAAACAGAAACAATAAGATATATAGATAGACAGATAAATGGTAGTTGATAGATAGATTTATTATAAGAAATTGGCTCACATGATTAAGGAGGTTTAGAAGTCCCAAGCTCTATAGTTGGCAAGCTAGAGACCCAGAACTCATGTATAGTTCTGGTTCAGTTCAAAATCTTGAACACCAGGACAGGAGAAGATGTAAGTTCTAGTCTAAAAAGTGGCTGGCTCCAGACCCAAGAAGAGCCGATGTTTCACTTGGAGTGGAAAGGCAGGAAAAGACTGAAGTTCCAGTTCAAAAGTAGTAAGGCAAGAGAAGTTCTCTCCTAATCAAAGGAGAGTCAGCCTTTTTGTTCTATTAAGACCTTCAACTGATTGCATGACAGATACTAACATTAGAGACGGCAATCTGCTTTACTTAGTCTATCAATTTAAATGTTACCTTCATCCAAAAATATCCTCATAGGCACAACCAGAAAATGTTCGACCTGATAGCTAGGCACCTCATGTTAGTTTGACACATGAAAAGAACCATCATACATATACCAACACAAAGCTACAAGGCATAGGAAGGAACAGAGACACATGGTTCAATGAAAAGAATAAGATAAATCTCCAGGAAAAAAACTCTGAAGAAATGAAAGTATATGAATTAACTGACAAAGAATTCAAAATAGCCATCATAAAGATGCTCAGTGAGCTCAGGTAAACAATGCACGAAGAAAATGAGAATATAAACAAAGAACACATTCATGCATCACTTAATGACAGAGATACATCCTAAGAAATGCATCGTTAGGTGATTTTGTCATTGTATGAACATCATAGAGTGTACTTACACTCACCTAGACGATATAGCCTACTACATAGGTAGGCTATATGATACAGCCTTTTGCTCCTAGACCACAGCATGGTGCTGTACTGTATACTGTAGGCAATTGTAACACAATGGTAAGTATTTGTGTATCTAAACAAATTTAAACATAGAAAAGGTATGGTAAAAATATGATATAAAAGATAAAAGATGGTACAGTTGTATAGGGCACTTACCATGAATGGAGCTTTCAGGACTGGAAGTTGCTCTGAATGAGTCAGTGAGTGAGTGTTGAAAGGCCTAGGACATTACTACACACTTCTGTAGTATTTATAAATACTGTACACTTAGGCTACACTAAATGTATAAAAATATTTTTCTTTCTTCAACAATAAATTAAACAGCTTACTGTATTTTACTTTTTTTTTTTTTGAGGAAGATGAGCCCTGAGCTAACATCCACCAAACCTCCCCTTCTTGCTGAGGAAGACTGGCCCTGAGCTAACATGTGTGCCCATCTTCCTCTATTTTATGTGGGACACCTACTACAGCATGGCTTGCCAAGCGGCGTCATGTCCATGCCCCAGATGCGAACCGGCGAACCCCGGGCCGCTGAAGCAGAACGTGTGAACTTAACTGCTGTGCCACTGGGCCAGCCCCTGTATGTTACTTTTTAAACATTTTAATTTTAACAGGATTCAATAACTAGAAAACATTGAGAGAAAAGTAAAAAAAAAATTTTTATTTCTTCTGTTTTGTTTTCACTTGGTTATGCTGAGTGTAATTGTGAGTAGAGGCAGAAAGTTTGAAATTATAAGAACTGTGTTTCACTAATTAAACCATTACTTCTGGGAGTGACATCACAAAGATGGCAGAGTAGGAGATCCCAGTCTCCATCCCCTCAGAAAGATAAACAATTATACAGCTATCTATAAATAAAAACAGCTCCGGGAGAGCTCAGGGGTCCACTTAAGAAGCTTCAGCAACAAAATAGAGCAAAAAAAAAAAAAAAAAAAAAAAAAAAAAAAAAAAAAACACCCTGAGAATAACTGCCAAGAAATGGTGGGAAGAATAGTTTTATTTTTCCCACATCACCCTATCCCCCAGGCCAGCACAGCTCAGTGCCAAGAGGGAACTCCCAGGCCTGAGAGTTCCCTTTACCAGGAAAAAGAGAGGGGGTGAGTGAGCACCTTTTATAGCCTTTTGGGCATACTGCATGGACTCCACTAAGAGACTGGCACAGTGGAAATATCTAGAGATGGCTAAGAACATGGAAGAAGAGCCAGGGGCTACCAGTATCAGCCATGTGACAGGAGTGACCATGGTTTCCAGTGGCCTGCTCTGGAGAGGACCCCAGAAGCCTCTGAAGATGCTGCACACCCTCTTCCTAAGCTTTCATCATTGAGATCCTCCTCACTGACCCCAGAAGATCCCAACAGCTTTCACTCCTGAGGAAAGCAACAGCCAGTAGAGCCACCACAGACCCCCTATAGATTTTGCTGCTGAGTTTTTGCCCCACAGGTATTCATGTTTGCAGACACCAGCTGCCTGAGTCCCTCTCTACTCCTTTCCCTCCTTTTCCTGCCAGAGCCGGGATCCTTACCGACAGACTGCCACAGCCTCTGCAGCTGTGTGCTTGCAAGAAGCCAGACTAGGCCCCGCTGGCTGACTCCCACCACCCCCAACATGCACCTGTGGAAAGTCCCTGCAGTCACGTACTGCACACAGAGAGCCAAGACTACACGGCTTCTTGAGGGCTTCGTTCCAGCCCTATCTCCTGTCACTGGCCAGTACCACTGTGAGCACCTGCAACTAGCCCCTGCAGCTAGACACCTGCATGCCACTGGTCTTACTCTCTTCACTCTCCTCCGCTGTCAAATTTATTCTCACAACTAGCTCCTAAAGCTGCATGAGTACATCAACAGCCCAGGTGTCTGCAGCTCTTGGGTGCCTGGAGCTAGCCCCAGTTTCTATTATTGGCCTATATAGCAGCATGTGTCTGCTGCTAGCCCCTACAGACATGCACCTGCATGTCACTGCTCCAACCACCTGTCAATGGCCACCAGTGCCAAGCACATGACTATGTCTAGCCCCTGCAGTCATGTGAGTAGACAGTGATAGTCTGGGCCCCTGCAGTTGCTCATATACCAGCAATTGGCACTGGCCCCTGCTGCTGGCTCTGGCCCTCACCACTGTGCATGTGTTTGTATTAGGTCCCTGTCACCATACAGGTACCTGTAGCTCATCCCTGAAGCCAACCTTGTGCACACCACTGGCTCCAGCCCTCATTGCATCCTACCTTGGCCCTTATTTGCTGAGCCTGGAATGCTGCTGAGGACCCCAACAGCCTTTTCAGCCACTATGAACCCCCTTCAGGCCTCAAGAAGGATCAAGCTGTTGTCGATGCTGTGGACACTAGCTGTCTGAGACAACAAGACATCGAGCCCACCTGGAATTGTAGCTACCACATGCCCCTGCACTTGGTGTCCCACTTTGCTTTACCTGGAATCACAGCACGCTCTAGTGTGACCCACCCACAGACACATACCTTTCCTTACCAGAATCAGTTCTAAAAGTTTGAAAGAGGTGGCTGCTTCTTCCAATGTGCAGATATAGAAGTGATTTCAGCAAAACATCGATTTGAACCACTCTCTGTGCATGAAAATACCTTCACAAGAGCCAAGGACTCCAGGAGGAATTATAGCAAGTGAGTAAAGTGTAGAAATAAGAAAAGATGCATTGAGAAGGGTAGGAAAAATAGATTCACATAACTCCATTATCCCTCCACCAAGCCCAGGCAGCCCAGCTCAGAGAGAGACACCTTCCTCACAGGAGGAGAGTAAAGTGAGCATCCAACTTCACCACAGACCTGAGAGTTGGCCAACCCCAGCACCAGGCCAACTCATGTCCCTAGGTGGCTCCTGAATGCTCCTACAAACCCAGGACCCAGGCCTACCCCAGCACCTGCTGACTCCAGTAGCCCCAAGTGGCATCTGTGGCACTGGGCTTGCATGAACCTAGATACTGGCTTACCCCAGTGTCTTCCTACTCCAGGAGCTTCAGGCATCTCCCATGGCCCAGACAGCTTCTACAGCAGGGTTCCCACTTGGCTCCCATAAACCCAGGCCCCCAGATCACTCTGATACTTATGGCTCCAGTAGCCCCAAGTGGATCCCATGTTAGCAGGCTTCTGGCAGGCTCCTACAAAATCAGACCTTTGGCTCACCCCAGCATCTTCAGATTCTAGCATCCCCAGATAGCTCCCACAGCCCCAAGCATGTTCACTGGCACCAGGCTCCCAGTAGGTTCTCACAAACTGAGGCCCCCAGCTCACCCAGCACCAACCATCTCCAGAAGCCCCAGGCAGATCTTGCAGCCCTAGGAAGCTCCCACGGTAGCAGGCTCCCAGCAGGATCCAGTAAATCCAAGATGTAGTCTCACCCTAGAATCTGCTGGCTCCAGAAGCTCCAGGAAGCCCCAACAAATCCAGGTGCCTTCCTCAACTCCAGCCTCCCAGAAGGCTGCTGTGAGTACAGGCCCCAAGCTGACTTGGACATAAGTCAGTAGCAGTGACCCCAGGCAGATCAGCCGATATATGAAGTACCCATAGTTCCGGGCAGCTTTCTTGGCTCCAGGCTCTTAGAGGGCTCCTGCAAACCAAGACTACCAATCCACCACAGTGCAGACTCACATCCACATCCTTAGGCAGCTAAGGTGGTCCAAGGCTCCCTGCTCACCCCAGAACCAGGCCACCTAAGGACTCTAGCAGCAGGCCCACCCCTGGACAGCAGCAGATGGCTCAACCAGATTTCTGGATGTAGTGACTTGCAAAGAGCTGTGCCTGTCAAAGTCAGTCTGTAAAGACTGGAAGAGGAGCATACTTCCTCAAATGTTCAGAGACCAATGCAAGGCCACAAAGATTATGAATAATCAAGGAAACATGACGCCACCAAAGGAAACTAATACAACACCAATGGCCAACACTAAATAAATGGACATCTATAAACAGTCTGAAAAAGAATTCAAAACATCCTCTTAAAAAATTCATTGAATTACAAGAAAACATAGAAGAACAGCTAATAAAATTAGGAAAATAATGCATGAACAAAATTAGAAGTTCAAGAATGAAATAGAAACCATTAAAAAGGATCAAATAGAAAACCTAGAGTTGAAGAATACAACAACTGCACTGAAAATTCAATAGAGAGCTTCAGCAGCAGATTCAACCAAGCAGAAGAAAGAATGCATGAAATAGAAGTCAGGCAATTTGAAATTATCTGGTTATAAAAGTCAAACACAAAAAGAATGAAAAAAGTGAAGAAAGTCTACATGAATGATGGGACATCAAAAGAAGTATGGCGGCTGGCCTGGTGACGTGGTGGTTAAGTTCACACCCTCCACTTTGGCAGTCCTGGGTTTGTGGGTTTGGATCCTGGATGCAGACCTATACACTGCTCATCAAGGCTTGTAGTGGCATCCACATGCAAAATAGAGGAAGACTGGCACAGATGTTAGCTCAGGGACAATCTTCCTCAAGCAAAAAAAGAGGAAGATTGGCAACAGATGTTAGCTCAGGGTCAATCTTCCTCACACACACAAAAAACTATGTATCATTGGAGTCCCAGAAGGAGAAAAAGGAGAAAGGAGCAGGAAGCTTATTTAGAGAAATAATGGCTGAGAACTTCCAAAGTCTGGGAAGAGATTTAGACATTCAAGCCCATGAAGCTATTAGCTCACCCAAGATTTCAACCCAAAAGTATCTTCTTCAATACATATTAAAATAAAACTGTCTAAAATCAAAGACAGAGAGAATTTTAAAAGCAGCAAGAAAAAAAAAATTCTCACATATAACAAAACACCATAAGGTATCAGCAGATTTCTCAGCAGAAACACTGAAGGCCAGGAGAGAGTGGGATGATGTATGCAAAGTTCTGAAAGAAAAAAGAACTCCAACCAAGAATATTTCACCTGACAAACTTTTCCTTCACAAGTGAAAGAGAATTTCCTGGGTGAACAAAACCTGAGGGAGTTCATCACCATGAGACTTACCTTAAAAGAAATGCTGAAAGGAGAAGTTGAGCTGAGATGAAAGAATACCATAATTAGTAACAAGAAAATGTAAGAAAATATAAAACACACTGGCAAAGGTAATTGTATAGTCAAATTCAGAACTCTAATACTGTAATATGGGGGTGTTAATATTTAACTTTAGTAGAAATGTTAAAGGACAAATGTATTAAAATAACAATAACTACATTAATTTATTAATTGGTAAACAATATAAAAAGAGAGAATTTGATATCAAAAATATAAATTAAGTGTGTGTGTGGTAAAAAGACAAAGTTTTTGAATGTTATCCAAATTAAGTTGTTATTGGCTTAAAATAGACTGTTAATATGTAAGATGTTTTAAGTAAGCCTCATGATAATTCCACACAAACAGAAAAGCCTACAGAAGATACACAAAAGGCGAGAAAGGAATTAAAGCATATCACTATGGAAGATTATCAATCCACAAAGAAAGCAAGCAAAGAAAAAGAAAGGAACAAGGGAATTACAAAAGAGGCAGAAAAAAGTAATAAGATATCATTAGTAAATCCTAATTTATCATAATTACTTTAAATGTAAATGGATTAAATTCTCCAAACAATAAGCATAGAGTAGCTGAACGGATAAAAGCAATATCTGATTATATGCTGCCTAAAGAGACTAAGTTCAGCTTTAAGAAAATATGTAGGCTCAATGTGAAG